TTATCATCCCAGACCTCTAGAGCAACTAAAGTTTTAGCACAGAGATGAGCTCTTTTTCTTTCTTGTCCTACAGCAGCTCGTTTCTGCTAATGTTATTTTTTGCTGTAATTGAACCATTTTCTCTGGTAATTAGTAATCATTTTGGATAAATCTGAAAAATATAATTGCCTTTTGAAGCTATTTTTTTCCCCACAAAAACATTGAAAACTAAAAGAAATCATGCTCATCATCACCTCTCTGTACTGAAACTGTTTATCTCTTCATTGGTTGCAAAATGCAGCAGCATGTTTACTAAAAGCTAAAGCAGGACAGGATCACTACGGGTTTTATTTATTTTTACCGGCTGGCTGTTTTTGTATCAGTTTTAAATTCCTTCCTAATATATTGGTCACCTATTTATTTCACTAAATTCCAAATTTTTAGTATGAAGGTCTAAATGGGAGAATAATTGGATGAGAGTCTGTACAAGCTTTTAGTTCCCACTTTAAAAACGAACTGAAGTCTCAAAAGCTCAGACATCATTTCAGATTTTTTTTCCATTTGAAAATTAAAGTGAAACACAAATTTTAATGATAACAAGTAATTATCTGAAAAATATGTTGGTAGTAAAAAATGTTAACCCTGCCATTTCCTCTCATCTGAAACCATGTAAGGAAACCAGCTAAACCATGTAGCCTATAAGCAAAACGCTGCATATGGAGGATGACAGTACATATGGATTTAAATATACCAACCTTATAGTGAAACATAGTGGTGGCTTCATGATGCTGCGTAGATGTATTTAAGGACAGGATAGCTTGTCAGAGGTGATAGAAAAAAATGAAAGAAGCTAAAACCAGATCAATTCTGAGAAGCTTTAAGATAAGAGAACTTGGAAATGTGCAGATCCAGACATCAGAGCCGTTTGCTTTAATGTTCTTAAAGCAAAGTTAGAGGCCGTAATAAACTTATCTCTAGATGTCAAATATGTATGGATGTACACAAGAACCTCCTAAGGTTAATATTTATTATATATAATAACATATGGAAGGTCCTCACACTCAATCTGTAAATCATTTCTGCCATTATTTATCTTGTATTATAAACCAGCTAATACATATTATAATCCTTTTCCTAACATTCCTGTATATTCTGTATAATCTGTGTAGCTCCCATATTCATATTTATATACAACTTTAAACAGTCCCAATTACTTTTTGCTTGTACATCCACCTGTAATAATATTTATATCCTGTATAGCACTTCTGGATAAATACAAACATTTTGTTTCTTTTGTACTCGTGACAGTGCAATGACAATAAAGTTGAATTCTATTCTACAAATACTATAAATCAGGCTGTTTCACCAGATCTAGAATTTTCTTTAATGTACAAACCAATTCAAACATTAATAGTGGATCAGTGCATCTCTTAAAAAGCAAGACTTGAAGCAGAGTTGATTCTCTCTCTTGTGATGCAGTAACTAACATACAGGTAATGCCTAAAAAATATAGCTTAGAGAGAATTGGACCAGTCTTTCTGTAAATTAAATTAAAATAACCTAATAAAACATTTGATTCTGTGGCTGCATCTACAAAAAAAGCTAAGTTCACAGGGTGTGACATGCATCTGCAAGGCACTGGATTCAGAAGAAATAAATCACAAACAGATTTGCAAACAAGAGACAAAAACTTTAATTTAAATAGAAAAAAAAAAGATAATCGCATAAAAAAACCAAACTGTACAGAACATTGACTTATAGTTCTTAAATAAAAGCCCACCCTCCCAAAATGACAAATGGAAAAACTGGGATGATGAACAATGACATCTTGTGCAAAACAAGTATAAAGTGATTCTTCCCAAACTGCAGATTTTCAGCTTTTCGTGTTGCTGGGTTGAATCTGGAGCCTCGCCCCTCCCTGCAGCTCCGCATATATAGTGTCTTTGATGGAGAAGGAAAACCAGAACCCAATAATAAAATAGATTCTTATCTTAAATACATATTCATATAGCAGACATGCTGTACACAGATTTAGAGATTGGGAAACCCCTTTAGGACACCCGGGTCTGCCTGTTAGCTTGTGCTTTCCTGTCCCCCCCAAAAAAAAAAAAACCATAGAAAGAAAAAAAAGAAGTAGAATTCCCCATAGCTTTGAATGCAAATAAAAACAGCACTGATCGACAAGTCTGTATTTCCTGAGTTGAGGGAGTTGTTAGCATGTCCTGGGAAAGATGCTGCTATATGTTCCTCACAGCAAGTTTACAAAACATCTGCTGAAAAGTAAGGAGCTTAAAGTGGAGCAAAGACTGCAGCAAAGATTCACAAACAGCATTAAGAATGGTTAACACCAGGGTGACCCAGTTTCCAACCCAATATGAAATAAGTGACCTTTATTTTAAGGAGAAATTCTCTTTCTTTTTAAGTCTTAAATAGCCTTTAATCTCCATTTTGTGATCCAAGTTTATTCGTATAACCCCGGTCAAATTAAAGAATGGATCTCAACTCCCTCTTGATTATCTTTCCTGCAACAAATCGCATCTCACTTTCTCCCCAATGTTAAATCCTGAGAATGCTGGAGGTGTTTCAAGTCCTCTACTAAAGGACAACAACATTATAACAGGAATTCATTTGAGCAGACCAGGATCTGGTGATTAACGCTATGGCACAACGTTTTGAACACTGCAGAGAGATGACGACTGGGCTGCCAAGTGTTGCTTGCTTAATGTTCATCTGCAAACCGTTCGACATTTTCACAGTGGTGAAAAACAGCTAAAGATTGAAAAAGGGGGTGAAGAGGAACCGAGTTAACTTCTTAGGAATATTTCCAGTTATGCTACAGGATTAAAGGGATGGTTTGTTTTTGGGATGAATTTGGGGTGGGGGGGTAGATTATCAGAACTGTAATACGGTAACAGCTGCTCCAAATGAAAACCTCGCCAAGAATTGCATTTCAGCCCCCACAGCGAACCAGCGTAGTGGTTGATTTTATTATGTTTTACAAACTTTGAGAGAGTAACACAAACCAATTATCTGAACACTGAACCAGTATTAGATTCACAAAGCAGCTTTAAACTGAGATCTATGCTTTTTAGATCCTGATCTCTGCAGCGGCTGGCTTGTTTTCCCCAATCACAGCCGTCCTGATTGGAGCGCATAAAGCTAAAGATACAGAGAGAAAAAAATAAAACAAAACCGTGGACTGGAACTGGACAATTTTTATCTTGATCAGCCCGGATTGAAGCGAAAAACCCTCATCGGTGTGGAGGCAGTTACTGACGGAATACGACTAAGGAGGGATAAGAAGTTAGCCATAAAGAGCAGAGATGATTCAAGCTTTCTCTACGATATGTGGAGACACAATGAGCGCTATCAGAGAGCCTTTAAACAGAAAACAGGAAGAATTTGTTTAATCTATTTGACATTTTAATTTTATCTGCTGTGGAAAAGTTATAAAAATATTGGTAACCTTTCGGAAATCCAAGATAAACATCCATTTTCTCTAGAATGAAGACCTTTTAGTAATACTAACCGTGGGTTACTGCATTTAGTTTAAATTGTCGCCCAGTCATCGTTTTGTTTATTTTAAAATAGTGAAACCCTGTAATGTTGCTGATTATCATAATAGAAATAATTAGAGACTGCTCACAGGGGAGGTAGAAAAAATATTTTAGCCTCTGCTAATTACAGTTCTTAAAGAGAAAAAGCTTTCCATTAAAAACAGCTATCAGCAGGAAAGCGCATTGAAAACAAAAAACAAAATTCAGACGTAAAAAAATGGCTGCAAAATTCTCACCAGTGCGTCTCAACGTCTGATTTAAAACTAAAGTTCATCCAAAATCAAACCTCAAAAATGCTAATTATCCCTTTGAACACAATCATCGTTGATAAGATGAAAAGATTTATTTAGACAAACCAATGGAAGAGAGGAAGCAGATGACAGAAGGCAACAGCGCACACACACGGCCCCGCCCAGAAAAGATCTGTAAGACAACGTTGATTATAAATATTTTGCCTTTGCTTTTACTATTTTTTTTTAGCGGTGTAAAGGTCCAACTAAAACGCTGGATTTGTCTGGTGCAGAAACAGCAGTAGTACAGGGTACGTTAGTAGTAGCAGGGGATGCAGAAGCAGTAGTACAGTAATGGGAGAAACGCTGCTCCCGGCACTGAGCAGCATTGACCCCTGCTTCCTGGAGACCAGTCAGGGCTTCACTGATCATTTATCAAAAAACAAACTCAGTGGTTCTGAATCACTGAGGAACTTGGGATTCTTCAAGTAAAACATCCAAAAAAACAAAAAACATTCAACCCAGCGAAACAAAAGGTTTTTTACATTTCCAACACGCCACCTTCATGGGCTTCAATAGACACTCTTCACAGAGAGAGGAGCCTGTTTGGACCAGAGTCTTCCAAACCTCCACCTTCCAATTCAAGACTTAAAGGCCTAGATGATGTGTAAACTCGCCGTTAAAGCACAGCTCGCCGGCTTGGCTGAGAGGTTTCCTTTGTTAACCGCTGATCTCTCCAGGCACCTCTGCAGGAAACAAACCAGAGGGCAGGGACTGGTTGTTGTCTTCGCTTCCGCTTGCTGATTAATGAGTGGTGTGCGATGGAGAGCGGTGGGGTGGAGCCTCCTGTAGTCTGTCAGGTATTGACACTCAGCTGTGGGTCCAGTGAGGATGCAACAACGGGGGGGGGGGAACTAAAAAAGGCTTTTTGTGGTTCACACATCCTTTGCTTGCTTGTACAGTAACGCACTAAATCTCTTTAAGTGATGAAACAGAAACCCAGCCTCTGCAGAAGAGATGCTATATTCTTTTCTCCTGTATAGAAAAATAAACACTCCTGAAGCAAAATATCCCTTTAATTGCACTGGCCTTTCTAGTCTGTCACTTCTGTTACAACCCAAAGGTCGTCCATAGAGACAAGGATGATCAGAACCTCAGACGAAACCTGACTGCTGAATGAACCGGTTGGCTAAATTCCCTCCACGGCGCGCTGAGCGGTGGCACAGCACGTTACAGCTGAACTGCTCTGGCTGTGAGGGACCTTCCTGCTCCCAGGCTCAGCTGGGGATTTTTTTTTTTTTCCTGCACTGACGAATCCCAACAACATTAGATGGATTGAGACCCGAAGCTGGAATTGGTCTGATTCGGTCCCACGGTGTGCTTTCATTGTAGAAAATGTCACCAGTGCAAAAACTCAGCGCAGGTGATCAAGTAAAGGCAGCTCTGTGGATTCCTCTTTTGGAGTGGGAGCGTCCTCTGAAGCCAACAGGGTGGGATCACATGTCTGAGTGGCTCCAAGGGGGTCATGGGTCAGGCTGGCTTCTTGTAGCGGCAAAGGAGGAGGAGGCTGAAAGAGAGATTTCACCGATTAGAAGCCAAATCCTAAAAACAACTAAATAAAAACAAAATCTGAATATCTTGAATATTTTCCCAGAGATGTTTCCAGAGACCAAAAGACAAAGAACAGATTACTCAGAGTTTATCAACAATGAAAAACATGTCGTAACAAGCTGCAGTGTTGATGCAGAAAGAAATGAGTCATCTCCCCTACTGAGCCATCCAATCCTAATGGTGCAAATACTATAAAGCATTACACCCTGCAGCTCTTTGTATCTTTCCATTTATTTAACTTTTTCTCCTTGAACTAAACTCAATTTTTGTCATTTTAACCAGACATCACTTTGCATATTTATAACCAAAAATATTATTTTTGTTAAATAGATTAATATGCTTTAAAAATGAAATGGGAAAGTTGAAATGATAACAACATGCATTCTATTTTTGCATTTATCTAAAGCTGATGACTTTATCCAAACTGACCCACAAAACACTGTTGTTATAGCAGCAGCATCAACATTAAACATTTAACAAAATTTATTTTCCCTTTGGGATTAATAAAGTATTTTTTGATTGAATTGAATTTCAACATTAGTTTTTTTCTTCCATTAGTATCAGCTGATATCTGCATGTGTTAAATAATGTTTAGCGCCTGTACCTTAAGATCGCATTAGGGCTCATACATTGCAGGTCCCTTCATGAACCATCTAGCCATTGTTAAAGGTTTCTTTTTTTTTTTCTTTTTTTTTTTTACTGAGAATTGTAAAGAGAGCAAGCCAGATTGGCCAAAATCATGAACCGCATAAATCAGGGATCAGTTAGACCCGCGGTTCTCAAAGTGTGTGGCGCGACCCACTGGTGGGGAATTGAGACGTGACAGGTGGGGCGCGCCAAGTTCCGGTGTGTGTGTGTGTGTGTGTGTGTGTGTGACTATAAATGTAGAATGTGTGAGAGCAAACTGTCCTTATAGCTGTATGTTGCCGCTTTTTAGACCAATCAAACCCACAAAGTAATCATTAATAGCCTACATGCAGTCTAATTAAAAGAACATTAGATATGAGAAAAATTTCCCCTGGAACTGAAGTGCCAAAATAATGATTGACGTGACGTCGGCATATTATTTGTAACAGAATAAACTTTCGCGCCCCAGTGTTGCCAACTCAGCGACTTTGTCGCTATATTTCAGACCCCTTCAGCGACTCTTTTTCAAAAAACAAATCTAGCGCCTTTTGGAGACTCTTACGTGAAAGCACGTATCGTTCCTTTTCTTGTCCTCCAGCGGCAGGTGCTGCCGTGGGGCGCCTCCCCCGTCCCAACCCCGTTCTCCCCCGCTATTGCAGGAGTCCCTATCAGCGCTGCAGTCAGAGCAGAGACACAGCATGTTTAACTTTTGCGTCCAGACTGCAAATAAAGCGCACATGCGCCGGGATTGACGGCGCAGGTTGATCATAAATAACTGAATTTGAAATATTTTATCTTAAATAAATAACGGCGTTTGATTCACACAGCCACATGTTCATGTTTCTGGTTAGGAGTGGAGAGCGAGTATCCACTCATCGGGCAGAGAGCTGTGTGCATTCTTCTTCCCTTTGCCACATCATATCTCTGTGAGATGGGCTTTTCAGCTGCTGCTTCAATGAAAACAAAATACAGATCTCAGCAGAACATTGAGCATGACTTGAGAGTGGCAGTATCAAGCCTGCAACCCTGTTTTGAGAAACTGTGCAATGCAAAACAGGCTCATTGCAGCCACTAATGCAGGGATAAATAGACCTGTCTTGCCAGATGGATTTCACTTCTTTTCTTTTATTAACAGATTGCAGAGTGGCACTTTAATTTTTTCTATCTTTGAGCTTGATACAAATTTTGACACAGCTGCATTTTTATTTTCTTTATTTTTGAGCTTGCTGTTATTTGATGTAGATTTGTATTTAGATACTACTTGTTACTTCAATAAAATTGGAACATTTTAAGATTGTTGAATATTTCATTAGCATTGTGTTGGGGCGATGGGGACAGGCGGGGCTTGAAAATTCCCCCTTGTCCAAAGTGGGGAATGACAGAAAAAGTTTGAGAACCACTGAGTTAGACTGATAAAATAAATAAATAAAATAAAAACATAAATCTGTATTGGCACCAGCCTTAAAAAAAAAACATTGACCATCTCTAATAAATACAAGTTTCAGCAGAACGTGTCTATTATTCAGCTCCCATAGAAATAATAGTTGTTGTTTGGGAGGTGAATATCTTAATGTAAATTTAAATCTTTAAACTTTCTTTTTATTTTTTGGGGGTTAATTGGAAATTTTAAAAGCATTTACTCAGTTGCGACATTGAAATTTAAATCTAAAAAAAAAAAAAAAAAAAAAAAAAACAAGAGGTGGTGGAGAGGCTTATTTGTTAAAGAGGTCATAGAATGATTCTATAGGGTATTTGGTGCTGGTCCTTAAGGTCTCTGAATAGGGTGTATAACATTGGTTGGGCTGAAAATTATTTGGTATATTTGGTTAAAAGCCCTAGAATGAAACAACATGTTTTCTTCCTTTTATGCTAAGCTCATGAATATTTAGATGAGCTGTGCGCTGATAGGTTGGTTTACAACGAGCGAAGCTGCTGAGCAAAGACACATCATAGCAACTAGCACTCACTCACTGAAACATCGAAACTGTTGATATGGTAGGGTGACCAGACGTCCTCTTTTCCCCCAGACATGTCCTACTTTTCATACCTAAAAAATAGGGGTGGAACGGTTGACAAAATCCACGGTTCGGTTCACGGTTTCGTGGTTACGGTTTTCGGTTCGGTATATGTTGATTGTTACACCAAAATCCCATAAAAATTAATGAAATTAATGGACAAAAAAAAAAAAAAAATAATGAATTGTAATTATTTTAATGATCTGTGGAAACCATGGATCATTTCCGCATGTTTTGCTGCTTTGAATTGAATCATCTCGCCGTGCCCTCTACGATCTCCAAGGAACTGAGAGCGGAGCGGACGGGAGCCACAGCGGAGGCTGTAGGCTTTGCTTTGTGCAGGCTGTCTGGAGTGCAGCGGGGCGCTGACGGAGTATGTGGGATTTCGGGGTTAGCCTGACATGTTGGTCATGTTGCTGTTAGCATAAACAAAACGTGTTGCACAATGCTTGCACACTGTGGCAATTTTATCGTAGGTCACTCTAAATGCAAAGTGGTCCCATACAGCAGACCTATAAAGTGCTGCTGGCGCGTCTTCCAACTTCTGTTCTTTCCCACTCGCCATACCCACACAATTCTCCACAACAACTGATTTTTTTCCCTGCTACGCCCGGCTACGCTGCTTCGCTTCTTCTTCTTCTTGTTTACTACTGGTGGTTGGCTTTGGTCGCAGTACCGCCACCTTCTGCTCTGGAGTGTAATTGCTTCACCTATGAGAAAATGGAGCAGCACATGAACCGAACGAAGCGAACCGAACCGAACCGAACCGAGACAGTCAAACCAAACGGTTCGGACGGTTTTCATAAACTGTTCCATCCCTACTAAAAAAATGCCCGGGGGGGGAATTCAAAATCGCCCGGGATTTTGGTCGACTACAGTGCAGCAGAACCGAGCCGTCTGGGGACGGAGCGACCGAACCAGACCCGGTGACGGTAGCCTGTCCTCCTTTCCAGAAACCCAAATCTGGTCACCCTAGATAGCATTGCTATCAGCAGCTTATAATACATAAAGCCTGCGGATGTGGGCTGGTCTGTATGTCAATTTCGGGGCGTGACAAAAGTACAGCCCAGAACCAAATAAGGCAACATCCCAGAAATCAACTTGGTGCTTTTTTTGGATTCGCCTGTTTTATGGTGGAAGTTTAGAATTGCGAGATTTGCAGAGAAAGGAGGTGTTGATGGGCTTTGAACTTCTCTGTACGTCCATTTCACTCACTGAGCTATCGTTATTCATCTATGACAATGTAAACTCAGTTTTGCATTCTATAACCCCTTTAACCAGATACGTTGGTACTAAAACTAAAACGCAGGGTTGTGGGGGCTTTACATGACGTCCAACATGACTGGTTTAACATATCCAAACAATTTTTAAACACATTCTAAAACATTTATCTTTTTCACATTGAAAAGTTAAAAGCAAAGAACTAACTAGACTGAATTTTTGTGACCCTGAATCACTGTGGTCTAAAACACAAGGCTGTCGTCTTCCTACCTGTGTGCGTATCGTCTGCACCGGCACCCCCTCCATCTCCACTGCAGTTGGTCCATTAAAGCCCTTCTTGCCTGAAAAACTCCACTTGCCGATATGACTCTCGTAGAGCAGGCCGCTCCTCTGGCCCACGCGGTGTCCTGAGTTTACCAGTAGCGTTGCCGGGCAGAAGCGCTCTGAGGTCGGCAGAGGTGGAGGAACCATGGAGCTGCTGAAGGAGAGCTGGGAGCTGGAGAGCTGCTGACCAAGGAGCCCCTGGATGGATGACGTTCGCTGCAGAGAGCTGAGCAGGCTGGCCTCCATCCTGCCCTCTGATTGACTGAGTAGAGCTAATGGGAGAGGTTGAGGGTGGTGAGGCCAGCTCTGGTTTGGGCCTATAGGGTTATCTGTACCTAAGAAGGAAGATAAGTCCAGTAAATTACTCATTCTAATCCTTTAGATCACATTCCTGTTATGAAGGACATGAAACAAACAAAGGTCTGTACCCATGGAGGGCTGGACGGTGGTGATGTGTGGCTGAGGAAGGCTGGAGGCCGGGGTGCTCTGTGTGGTGTGAATGGCTGGGTTCATTGAAATGGAAGCAGAGCCTCCTCCACAGTCAGAGTCCTCGATGTTTCCCCCGCTGTTACAGCCGGCGCCACACCCTTTCTGCAACCTGCAGGGAGATTACAGTCACTGAAAGGTGCGAGTCCACATTTAAAACGCAGCAAAGGAAACAAACACGTACCGGTCCCAGCTACTGATGAGCCACGTGTAAATGTTGTGTGGACTGACAGGGCCGCCCCACACAGAGCGGAGCTGACTGTGGCCCCCGGCGTACGAGGTGGTGAGGGGCGACACGTATATGGGGTAACCGATGGGCTGGTCACACGACGAGTTAATCATATTCCTCAGAGCCTGCTTGGCGTTCTGGATGCTTCCTCGCTCTGGGTTGCGGTTCCGCAGGAAAACCAGCTCCTGCTGTTGGCCAGCCCACAACCCACGCACACATTCTCTGTTCACCTGAAGGGGGCAGCAGAGAGGGCTGATCAGGGCTAGCAAAGGTGCTTGTTTAAATATTCCACATCCTGTATAGAGCAGGTTTTCTACACGTACAAATTCAGACTTTTCTACACAGCTTTCCAGTTTTACGTCCTTCAAATATTTAATAATGGGTAAGTTTTACCCGATGCTTAAAAACAATACACCGATCATAGCTGAGGATGGACAAACATAAGGAACAGAGGTAGAAATAGGGGAGGAAGGAGGGAAAGACACAAAAATGCTGAGAGGACAGTGAAAGAAACAAGGAACCAAGGAGGAGAGAGAGAAGATGTAACATTGGAAGGCAGAACAACCAGGAAAGCAGAAACCACAGGGATAAGGAAAGAATGATGGATGCAATAAAGGAGGGACACAAGGAAAGGGGCGGAGCACAGAGAGTAAAACGGATAGAAGAAAGGATTATAGGGATGGAGGATAAATGTTTTTCCAAACATGCTGCTTTTTCAAAATTTCATGCTTTTTCTGACCGCATAGAAGTAATGGTTTAATCCAACAGTTGATGTTTAATCAGAGACACTATTTAGCTGTACTGCAATCAGAGAAATATTGTAAAATCTGGAGTCTAAACAGACCTTGATGACTCTGAAGCTGAGGAATCTCTTATTAAGCATGATGATTTTGTACTCATCGCTGCCGTCGTCCATGATGTGTCGCAGTGCCAGCAGCGACGGCATGTTTGCTAAGATGGCGCTGCGCCACACCGGGTCCCCTTCGTGTGAAATCAGCATCTTTTCTTCGTTGGCAGTGATTGCATCATACAGAACCGTCGGATCCTCGTACTCATCTGGGGATGTAAAATGGTCCTAGAGGGAGAAGAGTTATTACAGCGCTGACAAAAAAAAAATTTAACCATGTGGGATTTGTGTGGTTTAGGAAAAGCTACCTGATGAAGTTTGAGGGACATTCGAACTCCTGGAGCCACAACTCGATTCAGTAGGTCCATATCTGCAAACACCCATTCGTCCCTAGGCGACGTGATGCGGAAGTCTCCTTTGAAGAGGGCGTGGAGGCCGTACAGAAAAGGCTCCAAACTGTTACATTTAAAAATCAACCTATTGGTTACTGTTTGGTAGTAACAGCACAGCTTATAAATGCTCAGCATCTTACAGAAGTATTAACACCCCTTTGAAATTTTCCAGATGTTACATTATGACCACTAACTTCAAGGCCCTTCATTAAAAGCAGGAATGCCACAATGAGGTTCCTGAGGTCTGGTGTCCTGCACCTTTAAATGCAGCTCTGCTTTAACACCTTCCAATGAAATAACAAGGTCCTTCGCTGGACTGTTGAAAACTTTACCTTAAAAGGTAATTAAGCCATTCAATTCAGGTTTGTAGGACCAGATAGATATAAAGGTTGCAGGATAACGACTCATGGGGACTGAAGTCACCCCTGATTGAAAGTGGAAGTTAAAGAGATGTAAACTGTAGCGTACCGTCAACATAAGTCTGGATGAAATAAATTGAGTATGGACCCTTTTCAGGTACCAAACACTGAATCCAGATGTTAATTTTAGATTTCTAAATAATTTTAAAGAATAACAGTTCAAACAACCTTAAGATATTGTCAAGTTGTGTTATATTTTGGGTTATTTATTTTGCATTTATTTGCAGACTTCGTTAACCAATAGAATCTTTGATTCTGTTGAGAAAGCAAGTTCCATGTTTAGAGACAGACAGCGTGTGATTAGTGGTATGAGATTAAAATCGTAAATGTATGTCACATTTATGAACACAGGGAAAATTCTGCTTCTTTTACTTTCTACTAATAATTTAGAATAAATTGATTCTTTCTTGCCATAATGACCAAATTTAAACACAAACATCAACAGAATGGTAAACAGAGCGAAGCTGGAATCAAACCACCTCTTTTCATTCAACATCCCGCCATCCAGGTGTTAGACTGTGGTGGTCTCACCTTGCAGACATGCTATGAGATGCTGTGCCCAGAGCTCTTCTTCCCAGGATACAAAGGCCAAAACAGAGGTTGACAAGTGGAGAATCTTTTTCACAATTTACTGGCTACAACATAAAAATAATAGAATTAATAAAATAAAAACAGAGAGAATGAAACTAGAGTGGTGCTACAATGAGTCGGCGTGTAGAGTCTCACCGTTTGGCGCCTGCTGTTGCAGTACTGGATCCAGTCGAGGTAAACCATGCTGAAGGAGGAGGGTGTAATGCCGGAGGCTCTGTGATCATAGTCCTCGTCAATGTTCAAGTTAAAGGTGGGGTCGCTGTCCACGTAGCTGGGTGCAAGGCAGGGCCGCAGAGCTTCCTGAATGGTCTCATTGCTCAGCCACTCCTCAAGCTTAGGGGATCGACTCACATAGTAGATGATGCTCTGTTGATGCAAACAAAAACAAATGAATTAGACTTTAAGCAATGATATTGATAGCAAGGCTTTGAGGCAAATTTGTTAAGTAATTAACATCTCTAGGGCTGCAAAAAAACAATCATTCTGCTGCTGTTTCTTTTAAAACCGATTAATATTCAGATAGCAACAGATTCTTTAAAGAAAAAAAGAATTTAAACAAGGTGAAATATAAAATTTATACGTTGGGGGTTCTAGATAGAGGGAGTATTTTGACAGACAAAAAATATTATATACTTTTTTTTTTACATTTTGGTATAATTACTGCTGTAAGTGGGTTGCTATGTCAATTAAGACATGTTTTAGTCTTTATACTCCAGTTAACGATTAAACAATTACTAAATTAGTTGACAAACACTTAAATAATCAGATAAATCCGATTGTTTCAGCCCTAAACAATTCCATTAAGTTTTAGTAAATAAAAAAGCTGTTCACACATTCAGACTGACTAAATGCATAGAAGGAATATATTTCACTGCAAACTATTATACCTGTGACAAGTATTACAGTACAGTTTATGTCACATTTGATCTATCTACGCCACAGATATATATATGGAGAAGACCTTTAAGGAGATATGATTGGCCAATGACCGATCTTGACAGAAGATAAGCTGTCGTCATGACAGATTACTTTAATATAGATGTTTATGCAATAAATTTAACAGACTTACCAAGAATTAAAAACAGGGAAAGTGGAACTTGAGGAACACCAAACAGAAGCTGTTTGTCATGAGGCTAAATTTTATCTTGAAATAAGAGTTGATTAAATAGCAAACCAAACAGGGAAATATATCACATGTTTTGAAGGGGAACAAACTCTACCTGCAATAAGTTTGTATGATTTTAGAGTCTAATAAGTAAACAGGGATTCCTGAGACACTAACCAGGTTTCCTGCAGCAGTGAGCCCTCATACATGCCACTGTTTAAAATTGTTGGCTCTGTTCAGGATCTTTCCAAAAGCGAAAGGTCCTCTAATTCCCATCTGTTCCAATATTATTACACTGGAGCAGAGGCATCGAAGAACTTAAGCTAGGAACAGTCGACTTAAAAAAAAAAAAAAAACATCCCAAAAAATAGAAGAAACACTATACACCATATCAGACATGTGACTGTTATTTTGAATATCCTTTTTGTTTGGTCATGTTCCTGTCCGTTTTTAGCTGATAATTGAGCATAAGAAGGTTCAATAATCATAATTGGTTAATAACAGAAGACTTTCACTGACCAAAGTCTTACCTTCACATAGTAGGTGATGAGAATTTTGCGCAGGTCAAATACTTGCAACATGGAGGCTGCGTTATTGTCGCTGATGCTATAGCCCTCTAGAACATATTTGGTGGCGGCCACCTCCCATGCCAGCCAGCGCTGCCCGAAGGCGGCGTTGAAGGACAACATATGCGGCAGATGACCTGGTTCACAGCAGCAGCAGCCCTCGTCCTCTTCCACCCCCTCTGTGATAGCCTCTACCTCCCTCTGCTGACAGTAGGTACCTACGCACATGTGAAATGCCTCAGTCAGCCTCAAAGGGAAGAAGACCTTTAGTTTTCTGTGTAAAAGAATATGCAGCTACATAAACTCACTGTTAGCAAAAATCTGTGCATAAAATGTAAAATTTTAATTTTGCAAACGGTATAAAAGTAATGCTTCATCCTTTTATCCTACAACAGTTTAATAAATAGCATAAAATGCTAACCATCTCATGCCAAGCAAACAATTATCAAATGCAGCTTTCAAAAGCTTCAATCATCAATCCTCCACATCATAAGACCCTGCTGACCTCTGAACTCCAGACCCCTGAGCTGAAAGGTGACGAGGCCGTTGCCGATCTCAATGATGTGCACCAGAGCGTTGAGGTAGTCCGATGCCAGGATGAAACAGTCGCCTGTGTTGTAGTTCCCCCAGCGTCCAAGCAGCAGGTCTCCGCACAGGCTGTGCTGCAGAGAGCGCGTCAGGTGCTCGTAGAAAATCGAGTTTAAGTTGTTGTCATCAGCACCTTTAGTAAAAGAGCAAATAATCACCAAAAGAACAAAAAACGTGTCTTGCAAAAGTAATCCTGCATAATAAACCCTATGACATCAAAAAAAACCTTTGAAATCTTAAATAATATACAATGCAACCAACTGTAGTTTTATCATTGGTGAATGTTTACTTTTATAAAACAACTCAAGACTGCATATATCACATGATGTGTGAGGAAAAGGTCGTCTTCAAATATTTTCTGAATAGCATGTCCTGTATACAAAAATCAATGTGCTTTATTCCAATGCCTCTAAATAAACCCTAGTGCAGCCAAATTCCTTCTAAATAGTGTCCACTTGTGTTCAGCAGAATCTCAGTATTAATCCATGTGTTTTTTGAAGGCATCAGAAATCTATTAAAGAACCGTAGTGAACAAGGCAGACAGATGAGGAAGTTAAGCTTTGGTTTGCAAATGCTTTCAGGAATGCTGAATCATAAATCTATAATAATCAGATGGATTATTGTTTAATTCATTACTCAAAAAATGAGAGTACCAGAAAACTGCAAACCAAATAAAATGTGAGCATTCATATAAAATCCCTAGTCTCAGAAGGGTCAAGAGGGCCATAGCAACTCTTGAGGAGCTGCTGAGCTCCATAGCTCAGGTGGGTGAATTTGATAACAGAGCATCTAGCATTGATGGAAAATGTGAAAAACACAAGAGACAAATCCAAAGAAATGTCATTTTATAGCGCAACAAGACATGTTCAGTCCAGAGGTTTTGAGTCGAGGATGGTTTATAAAATATTCACTTCCACTTGACAATCATGCAGGGATCTGTCTATTAGCTACCACCCCATTACATTTTGAAGAATCATGTTACCAACGTGTTAATTGAAAAACAACCAAAGGGTAGGAGTCGTTTGGTAAGGCGCTGCAAAAACATGACCAAAAAATCACCAGCGGCGTACCTGGGTTGCGATCCAACTGAGTGGCAAGTCTGGTGTTTGAATGATCAACCCGCTTGGTGCTGCAAATTAGGTTTTAGTGTCAAATGTAAAAATTTTATACAGTATTTGGACTTAAAGAGCAGAACGCCCATGAATTACTGTCAAACACATACTTGTAGTCTCGTTCCCAGAACTTTACAGGTCTGGTGTAAGAGGTGACGAACACAGCGCTTCCTAGAACGGGGTTGAGGGGTGTGGAAAAAATGGCAGAGAAGATTGCCTGGACGAAAAGCACAGCAGAGTCTGAAAAATCATGCGTTAAGGATACTATATGGTGATTTAAATTGGAGCAATATTAAATAAACGGACAATGCAGCAAAAAATAAAGAATTTATGCCAACATCTTATCCATCAACATCTCTAACAGGTTGGACAAACGAAAGGATACGAGGAACAGCAAACGGTTGAGCAAAAGCATGAAAGGCGGATCCCCAGGTGATCTGCCATGGGGCTATGTAAGTCAAAACGAAGCGTAGCTTGTACAGCAGGTCCCACATCTGCAGAGTCCAAAATAAGATCAGTCAGTCACAAAGCAAACATACCATAACAAGAACAAGCTGGTTAGACTTCAACAGAGCTCTCACCTTGCTGAAGATGATCGACATGAAGTAGTAGTCGATTAGGAAGGTCTCTGAGAAGTGTGGATAGTCACAGTGAAAGAAGAGCGTGGTAAAGCAAAGGGTCACGTACTGCTGAGACGGGGTACAGAAGGAAGAACGCAGCAGCTTCATTCCTGCGACTGAGATGAAGAGAGCACGGCTGCTGGAGGGGGGAAAGGAAATCAGTGTGGAATAAAGCTGATTTAACCTCCACTCGACATCCAGAGATGCATTCTGGTTCTGCACGGTGGATTTCAAATGAATATAGTGATGCAAGGTTGTAAATCTGCTAGAAACTGATGAGACTTACTAGATGTCCAGCTCTTTATGATTCTGACCAACTGTTCGGGCTTCAGTTGTTAGAGAGTTCAGCACCACAGCTGGATAGATGAAGTACTTCTCCACACACTGTAGCCATGCATATAGCTTCTCAAACCACATCAGTTGAGCAGCATCTGGAGAGGGCAGAGAGCGAAGCAATCTTACACAGACCGTAACAAATCCAGATTTAAAAGCATACCATTCAATCTAAAGCTGGAAAACTTGACTAAATATAACATGGAGGGAAATGCTGCTGATAATCAAATTCAATATATTTGATTTATAAAGAGCCAATTCACAACACACGTCATCTCAGAGTACCTTACAGAGACAATTCAACCAGATCAGAAAACCAGCTGATTGCATTGACTCATAGCTCGAAGGTAATCCCTCACATCAAGCATGCATGTAGCAACAGTGGAGAGGAAAACTCCCTTTTAACAGGAAGAAATCTCCAACAGAACCAGCCTCAGTGTGAGCGGCCATCTGTTGAGGCCGACTGGGGGCTCTGCAAAGGGGAGTGGCGGCCTAGTGGTTAGGGCATAGACCTTTGAATCCCGAGATTCTGAGGTCGAGCCCCACTCCAATCGCCTGCCACACTGGGTCTCTGAGCAAAACCCTTTTACCCACACTGCTCCCCGGGTGCAGAAAAATGACAGCCCACTGCTCCCCAAGGGGATGGGTTAAATGCAGAGGTACATTTTTCCAATGTGAGATCCATAAAATGAAATTATTATTAATTATTATTTAGCAACCAGCCCCATGTTTAAAATAACAGCTGTATTTAGACAGAGTAAACGGGTCTCTGTTTATCAACTAGGAAACTTATGAAGGTAATTCTTACTGTTACACTCTATTAAAACAGCATCAGAGTAAATGGGACTAAACACTTTATGTAGATTAATTTTAGATTCTGATTTAATAAAAAAAAGATTTATAGTTTAATTCTACTTCGAAAGATATATATTATTTTGTTTTAGAATGTCAAATAAACTCTCCATAAAATAAAATGTGTGGTTGTAACAAGATAATAGAGAAGTGAATATGTACATAAAGCAATCGGGGAAAATGAACAACAAAGAATGAAGACGAACAGTAAACTGAGCTTAAGACCATCTAAAACAAGCTAAATGTGATCTCCATGTTTCAGCTCTTCAGAGGTTGTATTTCATTATATTATGATGTACTTCAGGGGTCAAAATTGATTCTTGGATCCTCACCTCGGACCTCAAACTGGCTGTACTCTCTGGATCGAAGCACAGGGTGTGCCAGACAGAACCATGGCAGCTGTTTGCGGAGCTGAGGCAGGAGATAGTGAGTTATGAACCCTATGACTCCAGCCAGGATGTATAAGACAAAACTGAGAGCCGGCTAAAGTTCGAGCAGGAGAAAAAAAGAAAAGAAAAAAAAGAGAGATTCGTATTCAAAATCTGAACACCTGCCACCAAATTCATATGAGAAATGTATTGGAAGAGTGAGATCATGCCTGAAGAGCAATGAAAACTGTGCTGGCACTGATGGCGAAGGTAATCACAGCCATGAGGGGACACATGACGAGGTCTGAATGAAGCGTCTCGCTCTACAAAGAGACAGAAATGATTTAACCACAGAGTATAAAAAAAATCATAAAATCTGCCACTAGAATAAGCCAGGCGTATGAGCTGTAGTTTTTACCACAGAGTTACGTAGCTTCTCAGGGAGAGGATCTTTGATTTCCACAGGGGGTTCCTCTGGGGTTCTGTTCTCCAATTCGGGGAATAATTTGGAACGGACCAATGACCTAATGGAAAAACAAACCAATAAACAACAAAATAAATAATATGGATCATATGTCTTTACTGGCTGCTGAGCAGCTAAAACAGATTGTTGTGTTTATCATCTAAAGACATTGTTTTTTTTTTACATGGATTTACAAACTATTTTTTCAGAATAATAGCAAAGCTGTATGAGTTCTTAATCAGTAAGATAAACATTAGGACAAAGCTGTCTGAATGTCAAAATGTTACTTAAATGAACGAACAGAAAACATTAAGGTGCCTATATCCACTGTTGTACATAACGTACTGTAAAGAACTCAACATGAGATTTATGTGCCCTTAAAAATGGAATGCAGACGTGTCGAAGTACGTCTGCGCTTCAGCCAGGCTTCCAAAGAGTAAGAGAGAGCTAAACTTAGTGCTCAAGTTTCCTCAGCCACTATTCTCAGTTTTATTACTTCAAGTTTTTTTTTTTACTTCTATTAGCATGGATTAAAAAATTCTGGGTACCTTTACAGAAAGGTTAGCATTACAGTAAACTGCTACAATCATCAGCTGTGATGTTGTCTGTGTTGACTATAGAAATTCAAGATAATATGAGATGTTAACTTTAATTATTTGTCCTTTTACAACAATGTAAAACATCATTTTTAAGAGATTTTTAAATAGCAAACCCTGTACTAATGCATTGATATTATAGCTGATAAACAGAAATCATAAGAATCAGAGAAAAGAAAAAGGTCAACAATTTGACTTTCAATTTTCATTTATCTAAAGAGCCTACCAGTGGGATAAATATCATATAAGTAGTGGGGTGAAGAAAGAACTGATCAAATTGAACCATTACAGCAGTTAAAACTATTAGTAACTGAACCATAAAGGAATTAGCTTTTTATTTACAAACAAACACTTACCACAGGATGGTTGGGTCACTGCTTTGGCGGCTGAGATGGTAGGACAAGGCCAAAAGTAGACCACAGAACACAGAGAACAGAACTGGCACATGGGCATCCCCCCAGGGGGCCTGTTTCCCATTAAACACACAATTACTTCAATTTAAACAAAAATGTAATTGTTAATTCATGCTTATAAATGAAAATTTTTGAGGAACCTACATTAATGGCGCCGAGGCAAAATCCATACAGCAGAGCTGCCACCACTATGCTGCGTATGAGGCTGAACAGAGATGATAGGGGGCTGGTAGTGGCTGGCAAAGAAGACAAAGTTCAAATAAAACAAAAAAACACCTTTAAAACAGAGACATGACTGTTCTGTCATAACAAAATCTAGCTGTTTTGAAGCAGAAAAAGACAGGACCAAACACTGCTGTTCCGTTGTAGAGTTTGGGGGAAAAAATCTTACAAATTTTGAAAGTTGGGACTTTTTCAAACAAAAACATTAAATATCGTCTGAAAAATTTCCAGAGTTTGCAAAAAATAAATATTAAAAGACGTTTAAGTGCTAGCTTACCAGTTCCACCGAAAATGTGCATGTCTATCTGCTCCAGCAGACACATCACAAAGGTATTAACCTGAGGTAGCAACCCAAACAGGAAAATGACCGGAAAACACAAGGCAAAAACTGTAGAAGAAAAAAAAAAACAAAAAAACAATTATTTCAAAGAACATCTATTTTGCATCGATGGATTTGGCACATACGTGTTTTTTTTTATTTTATTTTTTTTATTGTAACTCTCCAGAAAAATCTCAAAACACATCACCAAGACACTGAACACAAAGCTGATTTTAAACAGTGATTAATGAGAACTGACCAATAAGCATATCCCTGACACACAGCAGGAAGTGCGCAGAGAAGACGGTGACACCATAGAGAGAAAATGGCTGCAGGTTTCCAGCTCGTCCCGACAGGTCGAATATCCAGATCATTGCACAACACAAGCAGAAGTAAACTGGCCGACTGTACACAATGACCCAGTTATGGCCCTGAGAAACAAGACAATAAAAAACAGTTATTTCAGTCGTACTAATGAGGTCTGCCAAGTTTGTACTTAAATGCAACCACATTAAATACCTATGCAAAGGTCTGACATTCCCTTCAGTTTAGTTTAGCACCCATATCTGATCCAATCTAAAGTTGCTTTCTATGTATTGTTGTAGATTGTGTTGTGCCTCTCAGCACAAAAAAATTAGAGAAAATAAAGTTTGTCCAAGTCCAAATAAGAACATGGACTGTCCAAGAACGTTGAACTATAGGCTGTTTTCATTCTGTAGGCATGTGTCCTTTTAAGGATTTTCCCAAAGTAGGAGAATCCTGAGACACCCATTAAATTCAGTCTCTTAAAAGACAGACCCTCTTCATCCTATGGCAGATTGCACAGAGGAGACACCACTGAATGTCAGACCTGCTAGCCAGGGATGACGACCTTCAAATTTGGATCATAAGTTAATACGGTCTGTTGCCATCTGCAATTGTTGCAAGTGAAGGAGTAACAAACCTTCGGCATCTCACTTCTGTGAGTTTTGCAGCAAAGACAGAGGCAGAGACTCAGCAGAGATTATGGGTAAAATTATTACGATGATCACAGAACTAAGGGCCAGCATGGGAGAATAGAGCAGGCCCTCCTCTAAACCACTAAACTGCTGATAGGAACCCTTAGACTGGCTAATCCTCTCCTTAAAATTTCAAATTTCCATTCAAACAGAGGTAAATAGAGGTGCCAGTTCTGTAGAAACAGGGAAAATTATAAAAAGTTTCAAACAATTCAGGTACTGTTCATTCAATTTGTGTTCGATAAGATTTTAATGTCTTCTAAAGCCAAACTAAAAGATAAGCTAACAGGTTAGCTTGAGCTAGAGTATGCAAGCATTCTTCAACCAGATGCTTACATGTTTTGAGCTCCATTTATAAAGTCTTTTAAGGTAGGTTCCCAGTTGGTTCTTTGATTACGTTAGCATTCTATACACATGAATTGTACATTTTATGGGATTGTTTGGTTTTTTTGTGAAGCTTTAAAGCAAAATAAACTACAATATTATTAGTAACTGATGATCGGAGTAGCTTGAACACCACCTTCCTATAAACTGCAGAAAACTCCAGCCTCTATTGCACTTTTTCACTTCTCAATAAAATAACTGTATGAACAGTATAATATATACTACTAGCACTTCAGAATTGGTGTGTTCGTTAAAACGTGGTTTACTTGGTACCAGTAACTGGATCATGCCTGATCAAAACTTTTGACATTTTTTGCATCCTTTGCCATAAACACATTCTATTCTTTTTCAACTTGAAGTTAAAGATAGAAGGCAGCTGTAATGTCAACCTGTCATGTCTTAACATTATGGTATACCAGAAAAGACCTTGTGAAATCATATCAACATGTAAAAGGGAAGCACTCTCCTCCGCATCTAAAGATTAACACAAAGCAATACTCACATGCATTGGAGAGGCTGCATCCGGCTGTACGCTCTGAAGCAGAGAGGAGGAATTTTTCACATTAGTTAATCAAGTGATAAAAATAAACTACATAGAATATCCAGATTTTAAAACATGAGATTAAAAAAACATGTTCATGGACAAAAAAAAAAATGTATATCCATATATGAGGAGAGAGGGGGATGCATGATTAATGTACGTTTAAGACATGGCTTATAAAATCTATTGGGAACCTACCTTCAGTAAAGAGTACTGGCAGCTAGCAATGACCAAGCAGAACTGGAAGACCCAGATGTCCCTGAAAAAGCCCTGTAGCAGAAGAAGAAATCCCAGGAAGGCCACCAGGCTAGCCAACATCACAGAAAACACGTTCTCTCCCACACGGCGATTCCTGCATGCAAAGTCCAGATAAATTATTCTTGACTCAGTCAGGCTGCAAATGCTTTCTCTTAATGCCTTTTGAATAATGAAAGCTTTTTGAGATGGATAAAGTGGCATATACCAGCTGTTACAATTCCTGGATATCAGATTGCTATTTAAAAAAGAAACATTTAAGTGAAAACAATAAAAAAAGGATTAAACCATCAGTCACACACAGCTGTTAAACTAACCCAGCTAAGAAACAACTCTGTACTCACCGAATTCATCATTAGTGTTAATAGACAATAATAATAAAATATGTAGCTCCTTATTTTATAGTTTTAGGAATGGAGTAAAATTATGAACACTTAAAAATTAAAGACTGGAAACTAAATACACAACTAATAAAAATATTAGATTTGTCCAATTAATAAAAAAACTGCAACACCAATTCCCATCTTTTCATTATCCAACACTTTTTCCTACCTGTCCAACAGAGCTAGAAGAGCCAGTCGATCGTATCGAACTCTAAGCCACTTGCCAGGTAGGACCCAAAACCGATAGTACTGTTTAGGCTTGGCTTTCTCCTCAATCATCAGAGTGTTTTCATGAGATTCTTGGAGGGATTCGTGATCAAGATCAAACTAGAAAACAATTAAAATCTGGTTAATAACAACAACAGCAAAAAAACTCCAGAATTTCCCCATTGTGGGACAATGAAGAGATTTTCTATTTAACATCACAATCTACCTAGAATAATCTGTTAATTACGCCATTGAAGAATGCTAACCTCAGGCATTTCCAGGGGCACCCGGCGAACCTGCATGCCCTGGAGAACCACGGGTCTGGGCTGGAGGATGGACAGGACTGGTGCTCCATCCTGAACTTCAGTGGAGGTGAAGCTTGATGACTGGGACTGCCTCTCTCTTTCTCTGCAACATTCAAATTTTCACAATTTACTGCAAAGCATTTTTTCAGGAATGGATTAAATCTGTGGTATAGAGCATAAATAATGCAGTCTATAAAGTATTTTAACTTACTGTACTGGATCCTCATAGCCACCACCAGCAGGTCCAAAAGTGTAGGATCTCTTCACTCCTGTGACACAACAACCAACATAAATGACGTCAGTGAGGAAGATGTATTATTCAATTGAATATTAATTTGTTGCTGCCCATGTGTGTACCTTTGTTGTTTTTATAAAGATGCACAGTATAGTTCTGCTTTTCTTTCCAAATCTGAAATGCCAGTTACATCTAACAGATACGGCACACCAGATGCATTTCAACATCATGTGTATCAGGCTCAACATCGGAGGAAATCAACCTCTACAATGTTTGCAGTGTGTTTTTTTCTTAGTACTCAGATTGATTTTTACCAGGAATGTCATAATCTGATCTGATTAATCTGATTAAATATCAGACTATGCATTTACAAGTTTTTAATTCTATTAATTATTGGACCAGGACTGTATCCAAAGACTTCACACAGGCAGGGGAGCTGGAATCAAATATTAATCCAGATTGCCAGACAAATACTCCTCCCTACTTGGCCACAATGCAACCCCTGAATGATTCCTTTAAAGCCACTGACTCACCACTTTCATCATAGAAATAGTGCACTGCTCCCTCTGATGTGTCGTCAAAGGTGGAGGCCTCATGGATGCCGCTGCGGGGGAGTAGGAGTGAAGACGCAAACTGTAACGCTGATGGAAGCGTGCGGGTGCGTGAATGAGAGGAGGTTCGAACTCGCTGAAGGTCTTGGAGGCTGGAAGAAGCCAAAAGAAAATAAATGAACCATGCCTGCTGTTCTTATAGTAAACTGAATTTTCCAAAGGTTACTTTTTTTTTTGCCCCCACTGATTTCAACACCATTTTACCCTTGCCAGATTTATTTGCTGATCTTAGAACTTAGACTCTTAGAAAAAGTTTTACTCATGTCTACCGAAATGACTTACCTGGGTGGGGATCCCATTGTTGAAGGTGGTGGGGTAGGGTTGCTCCCAGCGTTATGCCTCCGCCGTATTGCCTGGGTCCTCTTCACACTCGTTATGGATTCGTGTTTGTTCCCATCCTCGGGGCCCAGAGCTGGACAATGGTATCAGTTACTTCAGATCAGTTATTTTGACTATAACAATAATGCCAATCTAACAGCAGCTAAAGCCAACATCAAAAGTGGATAGCAATCTAATAGTCTGGTAATGATTCATCTAATGAAGCCACATCCACTTATGTAGGCAGAGTATAAAATTGGACAATGATGCCTTAAAATGAAACACACTAGTTCCAAACTAAAAGTAATCTTTTTTCCTGTATTTTCTGTGAACACACATTTCGTTGCCTACAGTCACAACAGACTCATAACTCTGGCATGACAGAAAGCTGGCACTTTGGTGTGGGCCCAAAATATATTATTCAGCTTTGAACATGAAAAATAGATTACGCTCCCAGCTTAAAGTAGGCTCAACCAGGCTCCCTGCTTTTATATCCAACCATCTTTATCATAAAGCATTAGCTTCATCTCAGAAGTGAGGGTGTAAGTTCTTTTGATCTTACCGTTTTACATACTGAAAGCAAACTTTTATCAATAATAAATCTCACATTGAAAAGATGAGCTAATAATGCCCTGGTAATGCTCTCTTTAGCACTTCACATCTCAGCTAGAGATTTTAACTTGATGTTGGGGATATAATTTTTGTTCTTTTATCTTTCAAACTAAAATTTCACCAATAAATTACCTAAATACAAAACTAATTGCTGTTAAAACTTTACACATAAGCTTAATACAAGCCAGAAAAGAAATCTATAATAGGTTTTAAAAACACCTTCAATCTATCACTTTTAAATTATGAGGAGCAGCAAAGAGGCTTGAAATCCAACAAGAAAGTGGTCAATCAAAGGGGTGTAAACTGAATTAAAATATTCTGTAACATGGTGTCAATGTGGGTTTCAAAAGCGTGTATCAGACGCTAATGCCTTGAGAAAATGGGGATTGTTAACTACGAAAAAAAAAAAAAAAAATTACCATAAAGACCGAGCTATATGAGGAGGAAAATAAGTAACCATTACACTATTGCTTAATGATTAATTAAGCAATTGTTCTAAAGACTTTTGTTACTATTATATAACCCCATCACACCAAAAACAGTAGCATAACTTTCTCTAAAGATAAGCATCTGGTGTTGCTAACTGCTGCTAATGGTCAACAATGTTTAAACTGCTGTATATCAATGCTATCAGAACTGAATTAAGAAATTGAATTTTAAACAAGGAGAGAAAGCCAAGTTTTCAATAAATAAATGAGTTAAAAAAGGGACCTAGTTGCATACTATACCCTGAAAAATGTCTCTCTCTGAATGCACAAGCAGTCTTTATTTGTAACTAAGGCACTGTGTATGTTTACCATTATGAGATTAGTTTTCTTATTTATGTATCAATAAAAATAGTGTACCTCCAATCAGCAGGAGATACAATAGGTTTGCACAAAATAAGTCAAAAAGGAAGAGCCATACACATGTCTATAGGAGACGTAACAAATCTCAGCAGGTTGTCAAGGAGAAAAGTTCAAGATCAAGTGTGAAAAAGGCACAAAAATACTTGATGCCAAGAGTGCACAAGACATAAGTAGTGCTTGGAATACAACATGAAAGTTGTTATCTACTGTAACGGGAGCTAAAGCTGAAGGCACTTAAAATCTTTTACTTATAGAAAATGGGGTCTGCTGATTAATCATATTTCAATCTCAATTATGATCTAGAATTTTAACGATCATAAAGATAAAATTATCGATTATCTTATGCCTCCACAGTTCACTCTGTTTTCTGGTGCAAATCAAGCAACCCTCATATCTCTCTGCTGCAGACTCGTTAATCAAGCGGATATTTTTCTTATCACTTCATTTGTCTCCCAATAGAGAAATTTGTCTCTTCTCTTCTCTTTTTCTCTTTGTTTGACCACCAAAAGATAATATTGTTTAAAGTTTTCAATAATCAATATCTCAATTTCATTGAATATATGAAAATAATTGTAACTAATCATTTTTCCATAACAGAGAAATAGAAAATAGATAATTTGGTGCGTTTAAACTTCATCTGGGTTTTCTGCTTCTACTAAATAAATAACAATCGAAGGGTAGTAAGAACAGCTTTCTAACCAGCAAATCTTGTTTTTCTACTTCGCTCATCAGGAATGCAACACCTGCTTGCTGCTAAAGTCAGCAGAACCGTCATGGTTTAAACATCTTTCTTTAGGTGCGAAAGTGGAACATGAAATCTTTCCCTTTAAGTTGCTGCTGCTGAAAATAAAAATCCTTCCGGTTGCAGTTTAAGCCCTTTGTCTGGCATTAGAGCCATTTTTTACTGTTTAATCTCAAACACAGCCAACTTGCCCTCATGTTACAGGAACTATTGTCCTTTATGGTAACTCATTAAAGTTTAAAGCCTGAAGCTGAGACACAATTAAAGATTTTAGCACCACTCCAGGGATGTGATGTCAACATGTTGATTTACAGCTTTGATTAGCAAAAAACGTTGGCTCTTAATAAGTTCCCCCTTTCCACTCACTTCCAGCAGAGGAATTGCATTTCCCTCAAACAAAGACCCTTTCACAGTTAAAACCAACTTGACATAATATGACATCGTAATAATAATCAAGGTAATACATATAGTGCTCTTAAATATATTTTTTCCTCCAAGAATTCAAAAGCATTCACACCTCCTGACCTTTTCCAAGTATGTCTCATTACATCTTTACAATAAAACTAATAAACTAGCAGTTCATGTGCTAGACTAAACCAAAATTTAGCCACACTTACCGCAACGAATTTAGGGGGTAGAACACTATTATATTCCAAAAGATAAATTCTATTTACTCATAGCCAGCCTGATTGTGTCCCTGAATAATCCTTCTCTGGCAATAGAAAGCATTGGCTTTAATGTTGTTCCCCCCCCTTGTTGCTGCTTGTAAATAACTTTGCTCACCTGATGCGAAAAAAAAAAAAAGCTAAATGTTGTCTGTGTTCCCCCTGGTTCCACTGGCTGCGGAAGAGCAGCGTATCCGCCACGGCTTTTCGCAGACAGAGCGTTTTCAAAATATTTGCCGTTTTTTCTTCAATCATGGGTAAACGAGTTCAAATTTATATTTGTTTTTTTCGGTTATTTTTTTGAATTGATGTTTTCACTTATCACGGTTGTTGATTACGGTATATACATTTCTTATCTTTCTAAAGGTCAATGAAGTTTGATTCAAATTCTTTTACTTTTAAACCTGCCTAGATCAGTTTGACTTTTCATCAACTGACAATCCATTCTGCTCTAGATTGATGTGGATTTTAGATGGCAAAATCAGAACAGCCACATTTTTAGTGGCCAGCAGAACCCCTGATTGACTAAAACTGCTGCAATCAGTCATGACAGCGTGGCTTTGACAGTAAACTCTATCCAGAACTACTCAGTGGGCAGTTTTAGCTTCAACCATTTGTTTTATAGTAATTAGTTGAGAAAAATAATCACAAAATTTCAGATCAACTAACCTCCACCCACAGCTCCTTCTTCAACCAGCTCTCCTGCCCTCCAACCCATCTGGTTGCCAGTCCAAGAACCTCCAAGAGAATCCAGCCGATGATGATGGCCTCCAGGGAAGCCGTCGGCGTGTACAGTCCTCGCTTCCAGATCAGACTTGGACATTGCAAGAGTGCGAGGAGCTGGGGTTGATGTTGAGGGCATCGTAAGAAGTGTAGTAGGAGTTGTTGCCGCGTTGCTCTGGCCGCCACCAGCCCCGTCCATACTAAGTACTCTTGCATGAGTCTTGGCACTCGCTGTGCTAGAGGAGCGCTGAGCAGCACGAGGGTGAGATGGGGCGGAGGGTTCGGGTAAATCCCCTTCTCTTTGTGGGGGAAGTTGAGCAGCATTGGAGAGAAGGGATGTAATGTCTGTGTTGGCAAGGTCGGAGGAGTAGCAAGAGGTAGAGGAACTTGAGTCATCGTCATTGTCGTTGTCCTCGTCTGAGCTGTATCTGCGCTGGGACCCCAGGCTGGACCCTGCGCTCATGTCACTGCCATCGTCCTCATCAGTTGAGTCTTCAAATAAACTTTCGCTGTACGCCTTAGCCCCCAAACGGCTGCGCACTGGGATGTAATCTCTGTGTTGCCTGTGATTGTGGTGTCGCCTGTAAGAACCACAGTCGAAACTACTGCTGCCTGCTCCTGTGCGCCTTCTAGGAGCTTTCCTTCTGCCCGGTCTGTGGCCCATGCTTCCGCCGCTGGCCCGCAGCAGCTTTAAGTCTTTAGGACGAACAACCTGCTGGGCTTGGAGCACAGGGGGGTCAGACAGTAACAGAGGGGTAGAGGAAATGGGCAAAGCAGGCTCAGAACACACCAGACCCAGGGCCAGCCCTGAAGGCACCGAATTGGCCTGCCGTGGCGGCGGGAGAGGAGGACCATAGCTTTTTTTGTCCAGGTCACAAACCTCTGAGTGGCCACTACTTGAAGGGGAAGAGTTCTGGAGGGGGGGCTGTGCAATATCAGAGGGTGCAGGGGGTAAATCCTCTTCAACAAGTGTCCGGTCCAGCCCTTGGCTGATGGATAACTCTTTAGAAGGGGAACGAAGTAGCACGCTGTCTGACAGATTGTCAGTGTCACTGCCACCCTGTCCAGTTGTGTCTTCTGTGTTGTTCAGAACATTAGAATCTACCACTGGTGCTAAGGCGGGCGTCTGTCCATCTGTTGGCCGTGACTGGCTCAATGAAGGACTTTCTAACTGAGTGGAGTCTGTTTTCTCAGAGCGGTAACTGCTCACAGTGCTTAGTGTCTCACGGTCTGTGGTAGCTCCGCCTGCGCTGAAGCAGCTGTCTGTGGACCCAGCAGCTAACGCCACCCCACTGCGGCTGCCTGGGAGCTCAGTTCCAGGAGCAAAAGCTCCAGGGTCCAGACCCAGACCCATTAGGTTTTCACTCAGCTCCTCACTTAAACTGCTCTTAATAAGAGGACTAAGGGGTGTATCCCCTAAGCTCCCAGATTCAGCAGAGGGGCCAAGTAAAGAGAAGGTCCCCAACCCATTGTCCTTGGTGTTTTGATTAGTTGACTTTTTTGGCAAGTCCTCCAGCTGCTCCTTCTCCCCTCCATCTTCTTGACTTAAAGGTGAAGGGGGGATGGACAGGCACCCTCCAGGGTCTTCAAGTCCCGCCGTCACCCCAGTCAGAACAGGGAAGTCCAAAGAGGTGGAAATGCAGGACTGAACTGCACTGGGCACCCCTGAACAAGAAAAGACACACGAATCAGACTGAAATACACACACACACCACCTGGGATTCCACTAACCTTTCAAATAAAAACCTATTTTAAAAATTCTTCTTTATCCTTTATGACTTTCAAATGCAAATTACATCAGTTCTTTATGAATTTATTGAAAAAATGCCTGTGATGCTCAGGATTTAAATATAGACCATGAAAAACAAGTAAGGAAGTTAATAAAGAAAGGAAACATCACCCAAGGTCAGAGGAAATATACAAGGCCAACACAGAAAGACACAAAAGGAAGAAAGGAGAAGTAAAATAGAAAAAGGATCAAAGGCAGGACTGACAAATGGAAAAAAGAGAAAAGGACAAAAGGAAAAAAGGTCAGAAAGTAGAAATCGAAGTTGCGAAAAGCAAAATCCAAAGCAGACTAGAATGAACTATTGAAATGTAGAAAAGATTAAAAAGAAAACTAGGAGGGAGGGACACAAGGAAAGAAGAACAAAAAGAATGATGAAAAAGAGGAAGGAAGTTCATACAGAACCAAGGATTTAGAGGACATGCCATTGATACTAAGTGATATTGAATAAAGTCTGGTACTGAAATGGATCCAGACCTAGAAACTATATTAATAAAACAGCCCCTGCTTTCCCAGTGTTTTTCCAGACTGTGCTAAAACCCTGGAATACAAGTTGGGCTTAACAGGACACAGCAGAGTTTCATGAAGTACTTTTATTTCTTCAAAGGATTTGTGCGAGTCTGTAGAGATGTTTTAAGGCAGAGTTATTTTTACACATGCAAGGATTAGGAACTGCTCAGCCGACAACAGTTTTTTTCTGAATCCCAGAAAAATAGCAAACTTACTTTGTGTGTCCTGAGAGCTCTGACGTATAATCGCTCGATGGGCTGAAGTCACGATTACATTGTTGCTTCCTTGTCCCTGTGTTAATTCTTTGACATCTGAAGCATAAAAAAAGACATCAGAAAGGTTTGTGGAATCTGACATAACATGGCATAAAGTAAATAAAAAAGAAACGCACAAGGATTTAGATTCATTTAAATGCTTACCCTTAGAGCCTCCTGCATCTTCCAGCTGGGGCAAAAACTCCTGATAAATCAAGTCAAAAATACAGAATATTAAGAATATTGATTTACAGCAATACTAAGTAACTATGCAATAACAGCAAGGTAAAAAAAATTATCATTTTTGAAAACTAATGATAAGAGAACTGCTTTTCTACCACTGCAAAAAAAGCATGAAACCCGTCAATCCTCACCGACACTTGGTTCAATCCAAACAGAGAATGCTGGGAGCTGCAACGGACTGGAGGAGTCGAGTTCACCTTCCGAAACACAGTCATCTCCACACCAACATGACTATCTCTGAAAAAGGAAAAAAGTAATGGTAAAAAAACATGAAAAATTTGTTTCCCCAAAATTCTACTCATTTATATCTTCAAACCTATGCTGATTCCCATCATGAACTCCTGACCCATCATCTCCTTCGTCTGTCCTCGGGGCGTCAGCTGTGAGAGAGGCCTGCTTCTTCTCGACAATCTCACCGAGGTCAAACATGGCGTGAAGTCGGTAGTTTACCACCTTAATGGCAGTAAAAAAGATTGCTACCACAGCAGAGTACACGCCTGCCACTACCAAGCTAGGGGGAAGAGCCTGAGGGGAAGTGGAAAAGAACAGCAGAGGATTAGAAAAATCAGGACCCACACCCTTTGTTATGGTGGACAGACAGCAGTGGCCCTGTAACTGATCATAGGCAGTTTAATTTAATCTGATGGTGATACGGTAGTTCGAGACAAAAGGTCAAAATTGGAAGCAACTGGGTGTTGCAAATGATAATAAAGCATAATACAGCAAAACTGGCTTTGAATTGGATAAAGAAAAACAGGGCCCTACCTCTAGTTTATTGGTCCATCAAACAATTTATGAGCCGTGATTAAAAGTTTAACTTGGCTCTACAATCTACCCTCTATCTACCTAGAACTATTCCAGCATTTTGTTTATGTTGGTGTGTATCTTGTTTAGGAATATCTATCCACACTCAACTGATGGTGTTAACAGAGTTCTCTCAGATACTGCCGAAAATGCTGCCATCGGTATCGGCAAGTATTGGAGTCCAGACACCCATCCAATACCATGTAATTTAAAATAGGAATTAAAACAGAGATTTGCTGGTTAGTTCTAGTTAGGAGACTTCAAATAGCAGAAAAGCTCATCCTCTTGAAAAAGAATTTGCCTTTGTTCTCTTAAATGATGAGCAATACTAAAATTGGCCAAATACTACTGTAATGTGTTGTCTACTTGTGTTAAAGTATCAAAGTACTTTGTAGCTGCTGCTCTTTTGATTGGCATTTTTTGAATGTTTAAACTGTTGTTGCACTCTAAGTTTTGTTTTTTAAATTTATATGAGTAGCTGTTAGACTTTTTTTTTATATATTGTTCTGCTGAAATACTGTTTTATTCTACATTATAATGGCTGCACCATAAATCCTTAAAAATAACTCTTCCCAGATACTGAACAAATACAGAACATCTATAGTTGTAAATATATATATTTATGTGTGAAAGGTTTTTAACCAGATGAGTAGAAAGAAGCTAAGAAAAATTAAAATTTTATATCCATTATATAATTAATCTTTGAAGTTATGTTGTGGAGCTACTCCTAAGAAAAAGAAAAGAACAATTCAAATGTACTAAAAATCCCAAACTACTATTACACCTAAACCATGTTTAGCAAATGTAGAGGCCTGATAATTATTGTGTTGAATGTATAAGATGTTGCCACATCAAATGAAGAAATATTCCGTTAAGTAGACAATATTTGAAAAGAAATGACTGCAAAAACATGGCTGCCAATGTAACTGTTTTCTTACCATGTACAGAAGAAAGGGGAAGGCCAGGAGAAAAATCCATAGGTATAGGTGGAAGCAGTTTGAGAACGTGCTCTGATGGGGGTCCACATACCAGCCTCCTGTGAGCGAAGCCCACACCCCCTGCCTCAATATCTGGAGAGCCTGAGAGCCCATCTTCACCGTTTGGGGTTAGACTACAGCTGGAATCCTTCCTCCAAGGCTGAAGATCCCAAAACCATGAAGTTGATTGAGCCACGGCCTATGATGGCACTTCCAATGTGGATAGCATGGTGACCAAGACTGGTGTGTCAAGGACAACAGTTCTGTGGCGTGGATATTTATAGATCTCAGTGGAGGTTGTAAGTCCTTGCATATTCTTGTACCTTTTTTGTAGCAAAGCTGCTATTCTCTACCCTAAGCCAAGCTGGGTTATTAGTAGCGTCACTTTTTGGCACTTTGGCATTCCACTGAACCCGTGAAATAGCATTCATCTGCAAGACAAATCAGAGAGAGTAAATTGACATTCTATGTGAATCTATAGTCTTTGTAGTACTGTTTATGTTTTTACCAATAACGCATTTTGTTTGGTTTAAAGATGTAAGTATATATTTATTATTCAAACAGTAACTAAGCCTAACAAGATAAACACTTAAAGCAGCCAGAGACATGAGGACCATAATATTTGCGAGTAGGTGCCTTGAAGGTACAGTTTCTCTCTAAAGTGTGTAACCACCTATGTTTTATATACATGTCAATCTATATCTTAATTTGAGAACACTAAATATATGACATTGCTTTATAGAATATTATGATTTTTTTATACAATGGTGTATGTGTACAATAAGTAAAACTAAATCTGCAGTCCCCTAAAAATAGCTCAACAGGAAGACATTCATGTCCAAACAGCTGACACGACAATACAACACCCCTAAATGAAAGTGTCAAAAATGTGCCCAAATGAAGGCTATTTTGTGTTTTATAACACTATGTTAAATCTCATAGGCTTGGAGTTCACTAGAACTTCACCGGTTGCCACTGGTATCATATTTCAAGCCTCAATGAGGATTTTATAGCTGGAGGAGGATAACAACTACTGTTTCTAAACCTTGTCTTTTAGTGGTCAATGGTCAATAGAGTTTAGGTTTCTTTTTTTTTTTCGGCGCACACGTCAAATGCTTAAAAGATCCTGACGCACTGCGCCTGCTGCTCAAAACGCACTGCGGGTCATTGACTTTGCATGTTAACTCGCTGCTCCTGCTACGTTTGGTGTGAACGCAGCATAACCCTTAGAGGGATATAAAGAAAATTTTAAAGAGTTCCTTTTATCACTCGAAACACATTTCCAGTATTAAAAGGACAAATACCCCAGCAGGATCTTCGAAAAACCCAGGCATGAATCAATATTTAAAAAAAATAATTACTGCAACAGAGTCTACCTAAAGAGATGATCAGACAACTGCATTTGGTCAGGAAACCTACTGCCAGTGTCCTCCTCATACTATAAAAGTAGAGCACATAATCCCATCTTCTAATAGTGAACCCCTGTATTTTAGAGAACAGACTTTAAAAGTGAAAAGGCTCACAAATCTACTTTTATACTCCCTTAAATGCCTTTAGTTCTAAGTGTCCAAGGTGCATACAGACTCTTCAGGAGTCAACTTAGCCAACTCCTGTTAATTTCATTTTTTTTTTTTTTTTCATATTCAGTTGCAAACAAACAGAAAATAACTTTGACCATTGGGTGGTTTAGCTTGAAAGACCAGTTGTTGGGAATCCTTCCTGACGCCCCTATGGCCACTCCACCCCTGCTTTCAAAGGTTGTGCCCTCTGTCTACTGGATGGAGTGTATATATGGTCACCTGTTTGCAACTGTGCATGACTCAGTGTGAGTTTATGTTGGTGAAAGGGCGGTTGGGCAGTCTATTGGCAACACCTCATTGAAGCTAGTTACACAGACTTAAAAAACTGTTAAGGGCTGGTTATACTACCGCAGCAGAGTGTTGCAGTGAACTTGTTGCAGATATTTTTGTTTTATGCCCAATATTGAGGGAAAGGTCTGTGCTATGTTATTCCATGCCACAACACCAGAGGAACAATCGCAAACTTGTTGTGGTTCTAGATACGGCCGAGGCGGTGAGGAAGTGGGGGCAAGAACAGAGGGACAAGAAAAAGAGTGGGGATCCAGGTGGAAAAAATGGTCCCAGTGCACCTCGCTCTTATACCTGCTCCAACCTCATGAGTCGTTCTCCGCAATATTGGTCATACAAACAAGCTGGTAAGGTACCAAACAGCAAATACGCATAATGTAGAACGGATGTAGATGTTGAGGTGCACCAGAGTGTCTGCGGCAGGGTCGGAGGCACATTTGCATTCACACACAGCAGACGACCTGGTTTCTGAATAGAAATCAGGCTAACTGTCAAAATAAAATGTTTTCATAGCGTTGACTCAAGGTCCTCCAATAAAAGTTTTCTCACGCGTGCAAGAAAAAAACAAAAAAACCCACAAAACACCATGTCTGAAAGCGTAACACCCTAATCATTGCAATCACATTGTAATCTTGACAACTGAGGGCATATCGGTACCCAAGGCTGAAATGTGCTGGCAAGAACCCTGACATGGAGGGTGTCTGGGTGTTATGTGCCTTGTTTACATTTAGAGACTGCATGAAAACTAGCCTCTCTAAGGCGCAGCTCAGAAACAGTGTAAAAGAGTGACTTATAAAGCTACAATAAAGGAAGAATTTAGATCAAGCCTTTGCAGTTGCACTTTATATAGACAAATAAATGCATCAAATGTATAAAAAAGGAAGAAATGTGTTCCCTTTAAAATACTTCTCTTTATTAATCACTGAACAGCTTAGCATATGCCCTACCAGCATGCTCAGAACCAAAGATAGACAAGCAGCTTCTATATAAATTTTATGCTCCACCTTTCTATAACAAACTCCGAGACAATGGTGCTGTAAACGACAACATAAATAGTTTAGGTTTGTAGCTCAATACATTTTGTAACAGCAATGTTTTCTCTCTGCTCTTTTCACTTACTATTTAAGTAAAGCACCTTGAATTGCAACTGAAATGTGTCACACAAATAAACCCGGCAGTGTGGTTCTTAGAGCTGTGTTTGGTGTTGTTACATATCAATACTGTGCAGCAGCTGTGAAAGATAGGATAATGATTTATTGGGCAATATTTTTTTTTATAGAAAATGCCATCTTTAAGCAGAAACACTGTTAGTTATATAGCTCACAACACCTGTAATTGAAAGGCACTTTACAGAGATAATTCAACCAGATCATTCAGTCAGATTGGTTAAAAGTTTCTTAAGAAACAAACCCATCTGATTGCATCAAATCATTGACTTTACATTATTTTGAGAGAAAATTAAAATTTCAATTATAGAGCTGTATACCAACTGCTTTACACTGTATAATCTGTAATGTTTTATATCTTCATAGTAACCAGTGAAAATATGTAATAATGCATTTCCCCCATAATGAGATGTGCACTCACGTGATACACTGTGACTAGAGGGGATACATAACATAAACGAAATATATATTTCAGATTTTAAAAGCATGACTAAGCTTTAAACTTGAAATATTTGTCAAACAAAAATGTAAGGCTAGGCCAGTACTATGCCAGGTAGATTAAGTTTTAGATTTGCATTAGCAGGCTAACAAACATTTTAGCTTAACCTCACAAGATCTCTGTCTTTCTAAAGGTTATGTGGATGGGTGGGGCTATTATTCTGAATTAACCTTTGTAAACGTTAAAGATAAAAATGATATAATATCTACGAGCCTCAATAACCGTTGACAGGCGTTTACTTTTAGAATTCTTAACGTTAGGTACCGGCTAATGCTAGGCCGCATACGGTATGATGGGTAAATGCAACGTTTCCCAAGACGAGGCAGCTCTAAGCTATTCTCTATAGGATGTTCGTTTTAGCTATATCAGCTCATTTTAAGAAGGTTGGTTAAAACGACGGTCAAAAATGAGAAGCTTTTGAATTCTGGATCCCAGCATAGCTTACAGTTAGCATTAGCTGTTGAGCTTGCCTCATATCCTCCTTCCGCATCCAGCCGTTGTAAAATCTCAGAGCTTTCCTCCTCAGGATGCAGCTAGCAAAGGAAGGCTGTCCAACAGTAGTTCACCTGGAGCTTGGCTGTTCTGTTGGGGCTAGCTAACGTATGGTCCGTACAGTTCGTCATCCTCTTTGGCATCAAATCGTGACAGGCTTAAAAAATTATCAGCGAACCTCTCATGTTAAGAGCAACCACTGTTTCCTGGCGTAAACGAAGCTTGAGTGAAACCATTTCAGAGGTCTGGCTCAGTGGCTCACCCAACTGCTATTAGCTAAAGCTAACAGCTAGTTACCACACACACACGTATGTGTGTGCGCACGCGCGGACACGCACTGTGACGGAGACGTCCCCCTTGGTGCTGATTGGCTGAAGCGCGGTCCTCTGAAATTACAGATCTACCGTATATACAGGGGTAGGTAGGGGTCGATACCCATAATAATAACCGATAATAACAATTAATATACGTAAGTACAAGTACCCATCCAATTGCAGAGTAAAAACTATTCCATAAAAAGTGAATAAAGTACTGAAGAACTGTCATAATATCTAATTTTCTGTTGAAATGACACAGAACACAGTTTTTGGCAAATTACAAATTATTATAAAAGTGTATTTAATTAGAAAAAACATTGTTTTATACCTAGATAAAAAAACACAATTCCAGATAATAAAGTAATTGTAAAAAAACAAATAAAAACTAAATACTAAATAGGGCTTGGTCGTCGTGACGTAGGCACTTCGCGTCGCCGCCATGTTGAATGCGTCTTTTACCGCTGCTCAGACTACTGCCTATGACTACCGGGTACTGTACTCCCTCTCAGCCGTGTTTTAATTTGATTAATTTCACCTTAACTTGATTTTAACCATGGTAAACCGTTGCTGTATTGTGGGCTGTAACAGCTCAACGCATGATCGCCATGGAAACATAGAAAATGGGTTAACTTTCCACCGCTTTCCTGAATGGACGCGTAACCATGGAGACCAAGCGTCAGAGATAAAGAGTCGTCGGCTTGCTTGGATCGCGGCTGTAAGACGACCGAACATAACTTTCCACAGTATTCCTATGTCATTGAGAGTGTGTTCCCTGCATTTTCATTCTGGTAAGTTAAAGATGCACGGTTTTATTTTATAGCCTACATTGTTTCTTTCCTTCAAAGTTGGGATCTTTTACGGGAAAATAATAAAAACGGCAGCGGGAAAAGGCTCAAATACGTGAGCAACCCGGAGGGTTGGCAGTTAACGTTACTAACTACACCTTTGAAACACATAGCAGCTAGTTAAAAGTACATTACATGCATGAGTGGTTGTTAGCACTAGCGGTTAGCAGTTGCTAAACTAGCAGGTTCCAGAGCCCGTCTGAGCACAGCTTACCTTCGTACGAATTACTGTGTTCCCGCTGTTTGCTGGCTTTATGAGCTGCAGCTCCTGAACCCATCCATTCATGAACTGCATATGAGACTCCAAGGACTTGTAGCTTCGGAACTGTTTTGAAGTATAGGCGCTCACTCATCGGTGCTCCACTCATTGTTTGGAACTTTATATGGATCCAAATGATTAATAATGCTGATTTTGTCAACATACCGGTCCCTGGCTTCTCTATTTAATGTGTCCCGGTAAATTCCAGATCCTTTTCGGGATTTTAACATCTTTTTTCTCTCTACTTCTGTCTCTTCTTTCAACAACAACGTTGTATCAGAGCTATGTTTACGTTTGCGTAGCCGTCAATATGACCGCGACGTCCCACAATGCAACGTGGATCCCGAGCCCTATACTTATAAGCTCTTTAGACCCTAACTAAAAGAATGCTTTCAGAGGTCAGCAACTTTTCCTGTTGCGGCTTTAAAAAAATTACATGTTTAGCTTTATTAATTAGACTCGGACAACTTTTATTGTAATTTTGTGTACACAGAGTGTATACAAAATGAGATTTCGTTTAGTACAGCTTTAATGACATTTCCATTTCTATAAGTACAGCAGTGATCATGTGAGCATGGCGCAAAAAAAAAATTAAAATTTTGGTTTGGTGTTGTCAGTTTGATGCAGAGTCTGTGACATGTTTTAGAGTTTTTTTCAACAGTTCAGCGTCTGATGGTGGTGAGGAAGAAGCTGTTATGTAATCTGCTGGACCAGCATCTAATGCTTCAAAGCCTCTTCCCAGAGGGCAGCAGGGAGAACAGTCCAATTGGGGGTGTGAGAGGTCATTAATAATGTTACGGGCTTGGGACATGTAGTGCTGGGATGAAATGTCTTTTATGGAGGAAAGAGGAGCCCCGATGAACTGTTATCACCACTCTTCTCACCTCGTCCAGCCTTCACACCACACAGTGAGACAGCTGGTCAGAACGCTCTTTATGGTGCTTCTGTAGAACGTCATGAGGATGGGTGTGGGCAGGTGGGCTCTCATCATTATATTAAATGAGTTAAGAATGAACATGTTCAATGTGCACATGTAACCTCCAGTAATTGCAATCAGGTAGGATATTCAAATTAGTGCTGTGTTGTGTTAATAAGGGCCAGGAGACAGGATGAGATGAAACAATGTTTATCTGTACGGAACATAATAAAGACTGATCTGGAATCAGGTCTATGTTTACTATATGTTGTGTTTACTATATTTAACACTGCAAACCATCAGGAGGGCTGCTGTTTCACCCATTACACATTAACCTAAATTTGGAAGTAATGTCAAGTACAATTCTATACAACATTAACTATGTTACACACACATAACATAACTTTGAGGTTTAACAGGCATACTTACTGTAGCTACAGGCATTCTGACATTCAACATTGAGCAACAAGCAACTACATCACCATCAATCCCCCTTATATTGGGTCCCAGGCCCAATGACTCAAGAAAAACTTAATGAGAGAACTACTGACCTAAGAAATAAAATCATGCCTCAGATGAGAACCTGTCAACCCTGGCAAAGGCTAGCAAAGTTAGGTAAGGTGCAACTAGATGATCTCCTGGCTGCAGTGATTACAACACTCAGTAAAATCCCTATTACAGAAACTAATGAGCTGATATTTAGTTCAGCATTAGTGATCCTTGAGATGCTTGGCCAAGGTAGAAGTCAAGAACGCGCACAGAGGACAATGTCCACCATGGAAGAGAAGGTGGGAAGCCAAAGTAATGGCAACAAGGAAAAATTAAGCCAACTCTCAGAACTCCAGAGAGGATCATCTGGGAAGGGAATGCTGCAGAAATAAAAGCAGAGGCCCAAGCCCGAGGTCTTGGAAGCCCATACTTTGCGGCTTGATAGGTACAACAAATAAATAGAAACCAGATGAATAAACTGGTTGTTCTCCAATGATCCAACTAAGGTGTATTCCCAGTGGCAGAGCAACAACACATAAGCCAACCCAAAAAGCCTGGAGACTGAACAAGACTGGGAAAAAGAGGCAGCTGACCAAGCTAACCTCCCTGAACAGGGTCTAGCGAACATCTCAATGGCAGACCTCGAACAAAGACTCTCAGGTATGAATAGCTGGACAAAACCAAGCCCAGGTATGATCCACACCTACTGGCTGAAGAAGCTGACTTTTCTCCATGAACACCTAGCAGCACAATGACCTTTTGGGAAGTATCCTGTCTCTCCACAACATGGAAGCTCATAGCAGCGAAAATAAGTGGCCACACGGATCAACACATGACACAGGCACCAAAGTGCATTGTAAAACCAACACCAAAGGAGCCAAACACCAACTACTGGTTGATAGAATAGTCGCCCGAGACTGTGGAACATACTAAAGGGGATCCTCTATTCCCCCCCCTGCTGTTCTGCATAGGCCTGAACCCCTCAGCCCTCAACAAGACTGGCTATGGATACCGACTCAGAAATGGGGCCACTATCAGCCACCTCCTGTATGTAGATGAAATCATTTGTATAGTAAGAGTGAACAAACCATCCACTCCACCGGGATCTACAGCAGGGACAAAGCAATGTAATTTGTGGGCTGGAGAAATGTGGCTGGATGGTGACAAGGAGAGGGAAGGTATCCACCCAGAGGGGATCACGTTCCCAGAATGGTGAATAGCAGATATAGACGAGATCCACAACTACCTTGGAATATCACAGGCAAATGGCAACCACAAACAGGCCACAAGTGAAACAGCTACAGCCAAATACCTGCAACAAGTTAGGCAAGTTCTGAGAAGTCAGCTCAAAGGTAAGAACAAGGTCCAGGCATTAAACAGCTATGCTTTGCCAGAAGTCAGATACCCTGCTGAGATAATAAGAAATTCAGATCAGTGATGTTAAAAAACACAGAAGCTACTCACTTTACATGGCGGATTCCACCCCAAATTTAGTATCCACACACTATACACTAAGTGCAAAGAAGGAGGTAGAGGCTTAGTGAGCATTAGAGCCACCACTGAAGATGAAACATCCAAGCCCTAAGAATACATCAGGAAGATGAAACATCCTAGCCCTAGGAATACATCAGGAAGGTAGCCCTAAGAGATGAAGTGCTAAATGAATGTCTCAGATAGTGGAAGCTGGAACTAGAGGAAATATCATTGGAGGACTAAACCCTGCATTGGATGTACCTGCAACAGATAGCTGAAGTGGTTGATATGAACAAATCCTACCAATAGAGGGGGCTGGGCTGAAGGACAGCACATAAGCACTGATCATGGAAGCACAGGTGCAGGCCTTGAGCACCAGAGCAATAGATGTCATACCCAGCAATATCCTAGGTGCAGGCTTTACAAAGAGGCCCCAGAAACAATCAAGACATGCAGGGTTGAAGATACTGGCAGGAAAGGATTACATGAACCATCATAACCAAGTGGCTGGTATGGTGTACAGAAACATCTGTGCAGAACACAAACTAGAGATCAAAATGGGAGCCACCTTCCTAGGTGGTAGAGCAAGACTTGCTAGATGGTTTGCTAGTTTTGCAGCTGTACATAAAAATTTCAGAATAAAGGTAGATGAATTTAGAATGCATGAATTCATTACTATGGATACATTTTTATACGTCAAAAAGTTCACAATTATACATTAATTTGTTTTAGTCTATAAATTGTAGTTAATGTGGTGTTTAGTTTGATAAAATGTGAAAATACTTAGGGGGGTATAGATAATTCTATACACTTTAAACATTTTCTAATATGCATATTCAAGCATACAGATGAGCAAACACAAGATTCATACGCATAGTACAATTTCAAAGGATGTCTTCGACAACAAAGGAAAAATAATGATAAATGACTTTAGAAATAGATAAAGAAAACTGCCTTCCAGAACCAGTGCTTGGCAGGACAGCTATAATCTGCTTCTGCCGTTGGAGCCATTTTGTCG